ATGTGATTTTCGCGGTAACCGTTTTGAATAAGGTTTTGTTTTAAATTGGCGAGCTCAGCGGTCTACTTGCATCATCGTAAAGGCGTATGGATCTGGAGATAAGGGTATTAATGACTAAATTAATTTGTGAAGGTGGGTGATAAGAGTTGGCATGCAAGAAAAGATTGGTATGGGTGTGATTTCGATAAACAAAGTGATGAAAACCTTGGGATTTGTTTTTTTACGGTAGAGATGAATTAGTTTCCAACTTCATCGTAAACTGGATACTAGGATGTATACCATTCAGATGGATTTAAAAAGACACCAAATCATGTCTGCCGTGACACCAAATAACGAATATATCGCCTATATACTCCATTGAGCAGTATTTAATTATCTATAGAATTGATTTTGAAAGATGAAATAAGTTTTGGACATACAATAATTAACGAGACTCATTAAACGGCCCCTTCACCTTCCAATTAAAATCCTAGTGTAAATAATGTTGGCGCCAACTCCTGCGCCAATCCCTGCGTAATTACCCGAGCCAATTACCTCTCCAATCCATGCGGTAATTCCCACGCTAACTCCACGTTAACCCAACAAGTAGTGTTCTGATGCTTGAATTTAATATTAATTCTTAATATATGTATATATATATATATATATATATATATATTATTAAAATATATATATATATATTTATATATATATATATATATATATATATCTATATATATATATATATATATATATATATATATATATATATATTATATATATATATAATAAGTTGATTTCATATAATCGAATTAACTATTTTACAATAAAGTCGTCCCAGGAACGCAACTCAGCAATATTGGCAATGTCATTTTAAAGTCGTCTACTTAAAAAAATGTATATGCGTGAATTGTAAATATAAATGAGTCAGATAACAAACAAAAAACAAAATTTGTTTATTTTAATAATGTTTGTATTTTCAGATCGATTTCCAAAGTGGAAATTAAAAGGTCAATAAACTTATTTAAAACTTCAATCGTGGCTTATTCCCATTAAAAAAGTAGTATATATATATATATATATATATATAAATAATATATATCGCACTAATAATACAATAGTGTCGCAACTCAAAATTCGTCTAAATTGACATAACATTATATTCACGCGTAAAATTTGATTCCCTATAAGTCAATAAAACTGTCGTTTTAATAGTGCAATAAATGAATAAGATATGGCGCCATAAGACGATATTCATGACTGACCGACTGCCGTCACCCCCTTCACAATATCGCGTGATCTTTAGTTGCAACCAACGGTGATCGGGAACGCACGTATTGCTTTGCTCATCATTTCGAGTTTCAACGTTATTACTGAATCAGGTATGTAATTTTCATAGCTATATTTCAAGTTATTACATTCTTGTTGATTTGAACCTAACCATAATATTGTTGTTTTTCTAGTTATTACACTATTACTGATTTACACCAGCACTTTTTAAATTATTATTTTTACTAACGACACTATTCTTGGTTCAGTTTATTATTTTTGACATGCTACATTATTGTTGAATAATCACTTTAAACCATTTTTGTTGTTGTTTGTAAAACATTTATTAATCAATATCTATTTGCCGATCACCGAATAGTAATAACTCATTTAAGAAGTGTAGCATTGTTATTAAGAAAGCTTATCAACTACTTTATTTTATAAATTTAGAGTTAATACACTCTTTGTGACATTCTTCCGTCAAGTACCTCTATACTTAATCTAATAATATTAATTGATTCATTTGTAGGTTTAATACCTATGAGTCGTGGGCGATTACTTGTTGCTATGGCAACAAATGCTGAGGACTGCGAGCAGGAAATCTCTTCACCGTCATTATTGTCACTGGAGAGTAGAAATAATGAACCTGATGTCCAAATAGAAAACAGTGACGTTGCGAAAGTACGATCACCTTCTATACCTTCACCATTTACGAGTGATCAAGTACTTCAAGAAATTGACGTAAACAGTTTCTTTAGTAAGGTTAGTAATGTTAAACCTATTATAGAATCCAACCACGGGCAATATTACATTTCACCGATCCACTCAGACCAGGGCGACTTTGATTCCGATGATTCCGACCGAGATCCGCATTTCATTCCTGGTGTGCAAAGTAAAACCTATAGTTTGCTTCAAGGCCTAACAATAACTTCATTAAGTAGCTCTTCTTCAAGAAGCTCTTCATCGAGTAGCTCTTCTACCAGTAGCTGTTCATCAAGTAGCTCGGATGATAGAGTTGTTCATAATTTAAGTCCTTTTGCTGGAACTAGTGGGTTAACTAATGAATTAAAATTTTCCTTGGAAGACCAAAACAATAATACTAAGGGCAAAAAGAGGATACGTAATATTAAAACCTGGAAACACAGTGTAGCCAAACGACTTCGCAATACTGGCAAAGCGTATGAATCAGTGAACAAAAAACAAGTGCCTGCAAGGAAAATGGGTCCGACTTGTGGCAAAAAATGCAGGTTAAACTGTCGTTCACGAATAAACGAGACATCAAGACAAGATATTTTTAATAAGTATTGGAATTTGGGAGATTTACAAAAACAAAGAGAATTCATTATTAAACATACTATAGAAATTAAACCAAAATACAGATATTCTTCAACAAAAAATGTTCGCAAACTAAATACTGGATTTAATTTTACATTAAACAACGATCTCATTAGAGTTTGCAAAACAATGTTTAAAAATACTCTTGCTATAAACGATCGACCCATTGCTACAGCACTATCCAAAAAAACAGAGTGTGGTTTAATACAAGATGAATTACGTGGAAAACATGGCAAACAACGTACTGTGGAACCGGAGATCTGTGAAGGTGTCAAACATTTTATAAATGCTATACCACGCGTCGAATCACATTACCTTAGAGCCCAGACGTCACGGGAATATATCCAGTGTGACAAGTCTTTAGCTGATTTATATCGAGACTACAAAGATAAATGTACAGAAGGAAGCTTATCATTTGCGTCAGCATCTACCTTTAACCGCATTTTTAATAAAGACTTTAACATTTCCTTCCACACACCAAAAAAAGATCAGTGTGATCTTTGCGAAAATTTCAAAAATTCTGATGAAGATGGAAAAAAGAATATTATTGTGGCGTACGAAAACCATTTGAAAGAAAAAGAACTGTCCAGAAAAGAGAAAGAAAAAGACAAAAATGCTAACATAGATTCAACAATAGTCGCTGTATATGACTTACAAGCTGTGATGCCAGTACCAAAAGGCCAAGTTTCATTATTTTTTTACAAAAGTAGAATTAACTGTTTTAATTTTACTGTGAGTGACTTGTTCGCTAAAAATGTCGAATGCTATTTTTGGGACGAAACGGAGGGAAAACGTGGTGCGAATGAGATTGGGAGTGTACTGAAATATATAGAAAAAATTTTACAGGCTAATTCTGGTAAAGAACTGGATTTTATATTTTATTCTAATAATTGTTGCGGACAACAAAAAAATAAATACATCCTTACAGCATATGCGTACGCAGTACAAAAAATGAATGTCAAAAGCATAACCCATAAATTTCTGATTCGCGGTCACTCTCAAAACGAGGGTGACAATGTGCATAGCGTCATAGAAAAGCAAGTAAACGTTTCGTAAAATCTTGTCCAGTGTATGTCCCACAACAATATATGACATTGATTCAGTCGGCTAAAAAGACAGGCAAACCCTATAGCGTGACTGAAATGACCAATGAAAAATTTTACAATCTGAAATTACTTCAAGAAGAGTGGGGTAACAATTTTAATGTTAATGAAGAAAAAGACAAAATCAAATGGCATGACATTAATGTATTTCGTGTTGAAAACGAACATCCATCTACTTTCTTTTATAAGAACTCTTGCGAAGATGAAGATTACCAAAAAGTTTTCGTAGGTAGCTTACGACGAACTGAAAACCAGACTTCGTTATTTGCTAATGGTTTGACACGCGAGTACACAAACAAGATACCTTTAACTGAAAATCAAAAAAGGGACTTAAAGGAATTGCTTGACAAAAATGTAATACCCAGAAGTTACCGTGAAACTTACTATAAGGATTTGATCGATTTAAAATTAAAATTGTATTTAATTGTAATCAGTAATAATTGATTTTGAGACTGATTGAAACTCTGAGTTTTGAGACTGAGTTTAAATAATTTGTTTTTCTTTTAAATAGGTCCTTTTAATTAATCACGAATTACTTAAATATGACTATATTTTGTGTTCTTTTTTCAGAAGGTTTATTTTGTTAAATATATAGATTAAGTACAAAATGTTCAAGAATACTGTATTTTGTTATCTGTATCTGAGTTTGTTTGATTATAATATAAACGTAATTAAAAACAGTCTTGATTTATTTATTAATACCAAAATTGACAATTCTCGGTAATTGTTAACGTGTAATACAATCTCTTTAGATCCGAAGTTAACAAATACCAAGAATCAAGTTCCCAAAATTGTTGTAAGTCCAAAAACTAACGTAAACCATAGAAAAAATAGTAAATCAAATTGTAGTAACACAAAATATTTCATAAATAATGTCATAACTAAAAATAATATTTAATTTTGAACATTTTGCTTAGAGCAATACAGTGTTAACTCAAATTTTTTTAATAACTTCACTGTCAGTATTTTTATTTAACAAAGAGTACAAAGAAACTTCATTTAATATTAATTAGAAACATATTATGCATTAATTTTATTTTTACCTGTAATAGGAAATGAGTAATCAGTTTTTCGTTGATTCTGAAAAATCATCTTTTTTGAGTTACGACACTATTGTATTATTAGTGCGATATATATATATATATATATATATATATATATATATATATATATATATATATATAATATGTATGTTCATATAACAACAATTAATTCTAACTAAAAAAATTATCAGTTAAGATATGAATCTGTATTCATTTTAAATATATTTCATCATCATTTCATTTATACTAATAATTTAGAGATAGCTGAGAAGGTATATCAATCCCCTGTATCGAAAAATTACTTTAAATAGCGTACCCACCAGAGAAAACTTATATTATACGCTAGTTATTTCAAAAAATGTATAGAGAACTGTTTTATATTTGTTTAGCTCTTTTCGGAGTAGTGAATGGTAAGTATTTAACAATCTAAAAGAATATTGTCAAAGTCATTTTTTGGAATCACTCCTCTTCAGTTTAGGATTTCATCATCCTATTTTTATTTCAATGTGATTTTACGTTGTGATTTATATATTTTTAGAAATAACTTTTTTATCTCTACAAATTATTTTTCTCTTGGTAATAAGTCCCAAAACAAAAAACAAACCAACAGCAATTAAGGTGTTTCTTTAAATGTACGAGATTTATGTATGGTATTGAGATGATATAATAGAATCTTATAGGAGGTAGTCTGAAATTATTTCTTTTGGTATTTCTTCTACTTCGGCTGCTTACTAAACAAATTTAACTTAGTAAATACTATACAGTATAAATACTATACATACTTAAAAACAAGGTTTTCAGTGTTTCATTGTTACATAAATACTACACATTAAATTAAAATTAAATTTAAAAATCCAAAAGGATTAAGTTCAAAACGTTTACGGACTAATCGCTCCATCTTCAGTGAATTTTGCAGTACTTGCAAAATAACCTCAAATCCAAACAGGGGTTGGGTTTACACGGATTAAACCATACTTGGAAATATTAAATTATATATTGATAAAATATTGATTGCTAATAGGGAACGTAAGTCGCTACCCGAAAAAGTTTTTACGCTGGCATTGGCCTCTAGAGCTCAAAAGTTGATTTTTTTGTATAATATTAACAGTACAAAACCTTTTAATTTTAATAAGTTGTGCAAATTAATTAATAAAGTTGTTACTGTGTATTCAAAAAACATTTAGCCTAATTTAAATTAAAATAATTTTAAGGTTTTTTGTCTGCTGCTATCTTTGATTTTTCTTTGTCATTGTATTCTATTAGATAGTGTCTAAAGCACTTTTGGCATACTGCTATGTTTGATTATTCTTTGTCATCATATTCTATTTGCTAAATCCTGTCATGTAGCATATCGCGTGGTCCTGTAAGTCCAGTAGTCTATGCACTATAAGCTTAAGGTCTTTTTGACAATTCACCCTTTAACTCTAACCCTTTTTTACTTCTTGACCTATCCTCGTTTTTGTTTTTTGAACTAGTTAACCGGTCCTTTTACGCAAATGACGTATTTTTGCCTGAAGTCTCCAAATTCATCCCAATGTCGAAACGATCGAAAGCTCGACATTCATGCATTTTCTTATCTGTGAATGTGAAGCTTTAGCTGAATGATTGTATATCAATGCCTAAAGTTTTTGAGTTTGTATGTTGATGAATGTCCCAATTGGAAAAGGCAATGTGATAATATTATTTTCAAAATAAACTGGAACGAAACTAAAGATATACTAAGTAAGTGAAAAACAGCTAATTATGCTATATTATGTTCAGGTGGAGTCTCATTTGCGGTATGGCATAGTATTTTGGGGTACGTCTTGTAAATTCAGTGAAGTCTTTCTATCTCAAAAGAGAATAGTCCGTTGTATTGCTGGTATTTTTCGAATAACTACCTTTAAGAGGTATTTTATTAGATCTAAACTTTTACCTATGCCGTGCTAATATATTTTTTAAGTTTGTGTTTTTATTCATTCAAATCTTGAGAAATTTTAAACTAATAGTCAAATCCACAATATAAATACAAGTCAGAATCAAAAATTGCATGTGCCTTTTTCTAAAGGAAATATGCATTTTTACTCAGCTGCAATAATAGGTCAAAGAATATATAATAAGTTACCCGAGCCAATAAAAAAATGTAAGAATATGACAATATTTAAATTAACTTTAAAAGATTTTTTATTGCAAAATACGTTGTATTTTCTTGATGAGTATAGTAATTTTACATTTTCTATTTTGTTTCGTGTTTGTCTTGTATTCTTGTTTTCTAATTTCCAACTAATTTTGTTTTCTAAACTGTGAGTGATCCTAAACAAATTGTGTTTGTCAAAAAGGAAATAGAATATTATCCAGATTTAGCCATACGGCTCACACTCCCTCTAAGGGGAAAATTCACTGATCCCAGATACCTACGGTATCAAAAGAATTAAGCTCTGGTGGGACTCTTTCCGTGTTATCGAGCCCTAGGTGACTTAGTATGTTGGAGTATCTCCCAAAAATTTTCTTACACATCTGGAGCTCGCGAGGAGTACAGCTTTCTGCATGGCCTTATAAAGATGTTCATTTAGACCCAGCTGTTTTATGTTCGCTAGGAGGTTTTTGGGAATAACACCAGTAGTAGAGAGAACAATCTTGATTTGTATTTCTAGATCTCTGTACTTGGCGATCTTTTCGTTGTATTTAACGTCTGCATTCACTCTTTCTCTGTAGCATCTTTGCTTCACCGCTGCTGTTAAAGGCTGTAAAAAAAAGCTTAAGAATACTACATAATATTTTTTTCTTGGTTAGTCTTTAACCCTGTCATTTATGTTACCTAGTGTCAAATATGTTACCATGGATGTGGTAATATATTTGACGGTAACATATTTGACATTTTACAATATATATTTTAAAATTGCCGCCAAATTCATTCAGATGCTGACGGTTGCTTAACTAAAAGAAACATGAATAATATTTTACGGCAATGTAATAAATTTGATTTAAAATAAGTTAAACTATTAGTAATAACATATTTGACATAATATAATAAGCGTACGTACCTGACTAATATCAATAGTTTGTTGCCAAAAAACTGTAAAATTTTACTAAAAAACTGACACTGAATTTTAGTGTTGCCCAGTCTTACAAAAATCCTATAATGTCAGTGGTAACATATTTGACCATGTTTGGGGTGACACTAAGAATTCTCAGAATAATTTCTTTATTTATGATATATTAGACAAACTGGTAACTGTTAAAAAAAGCATTACAAACAGAACTTATTGCTATCGAAAAAAAGTATTAATAGTTATCCACAAATTATAAAGCGTTATCTTTTCGATGACAGCCCTTCAAGTGACAGGTAACATATTTGACATTTAGCTTATAAATAATCATTTTTTTGTAAACTATAAAAACGGGGGCAATTTTTGTTTATGAATATATAAGGCAACTTTAAATAGAAAAATAGTATGGTAATAAATGGCTAAAAATTGGCAGTTTTGAACCTATACCTAATCGTTAATTTTACATAAACTATTGTATCAAATTTAATATAACATACAGTTCGTCTAATTTACATACCGATGCACGTCATTATTTACGTCAGAGATCGAAGTTGACATAGCTGCCAAAGTATAAAAAAATCCTGACTCCATTTTAAATCAAATCGATCACATAATTATTGCAAAAGTATTACCATCTCTTTACAACGACTATTCAAATTCTTACGTGACATTTTTGAAATAAAATACACTAATTTTCTTCTAAAAAGAACAGATTTTATTAAATAGGTCAAAAAATACCTCTCTTACATATCTCTGAAAAATACAAAGTACAAAAAGTGTCAACACCACAACTGTCAGATAACTGTTACCAATTTATGCCAAAATTTCACCTTCGTTCAATTACAGTTACAGTCTGCTCCGAACAAATGTTCTTCATAAAAACGCTTTATAATGCATTTATACAAATTAAATGGGTAATTTCTTTAAGTCAACATTAATAGAAATTTTTAAATATTATTTCTACGCGTATATAATAAAATATGTCTAGTGGCTGTAATGCCAGTGTGCTCGGCAAAGTGATTCTAAAAAAGAACACACCTATTGCCTAAATCATGTGACGTCACGGGCTATAACGCCGATGACGTGCATCGGTAACTAAATTAGATGAAGTGTAGTTTAAGTTAAAGCGTTTTATAGTGTACCTTCATAGTCGAGCACCTAGAATTTTCCTGTGGGGGGTTTTGGTCGGGCACCAAAATTGCTCTGTACCGGTTTCCAATAAAAATGTTTTTTTCTCTACATCTTGGACTACATTTCTTTCTGCTGCTTTCCACTATTGTCTCAAAAATTTAGTGTTTACTTTTGCTTTTAATATCGTGGCTCCATACAATCGAGTGTAATTGTCGTGTTATTGTCTTTCCTTCCTTTATGTTATTTATTATATCCGTTTCATCTGATCCTGTATTTGTTAAAGTTATTCTCAATTATTCGCAAGTTCTTCTGTGTTTACAATGACGATATGTTGCGTTTTATCATAATTAATTTTCAAACCCCAGCTTCAAAATTTTTCTTTCAGCTTTTTTATAATTTTTTTATCATGTAGTCTCCCACTTCTTTCACGTTTATAAACAATTATCTTTTTTCTGTAGGTATTATTAATTTTTATATGGAATATTTGCGTTTCACTGATCTTTGCGCCTTTGTTTTTTTTTAAATATTTTATTTGTAGGTGTACAGACTTAGAGATTAAGTAAGAAAGAGTAGAATTATAAAGAGTAGAGTATAAAGAAGAAAGTAAATTAATTAAAATCCGCGTTATAAAATAATTGGCATTATTTTATATTTATTTATATTATTTTATATTTTAGCTGTAATTTGTCGAATGCTATCGTACCAAGCAGATTCGGATTTTTATTTTTGTTATCTGCTTTTTGTTCTGACTTGGCCTTTGTAATTTAGCCAGTTACAGCGTAAAATGCAAAGAAGGCGAAAATATACCAATAAGGAAAAAACAAAGATACTCGCCTTTTATCTCGAGGGTCATCACGACATATTTGTGACAAAAAAAATTTTGTTAGGTAACGTAACAATTAATTTTAAAATAAAAGATACTACGGCACAGATCAATTTCATTTGGGGCGCACTCTACGCTCACAGACTTATTAAATTGTTCGAAATGTCGTAATTTATCAAGTTCAATAAATTTTGATCGTGTTACTGGTAATTTTAAACACTCAAGATTTAGCATTGCACATAAGTTTTATTTTATAAATAAATACGAGGGAGATTTTATAAGGATATCATGTTATGGCTTCTATTTGTAAAGTATAGTAAACAGTAAAAATAATCATTGCGATTCGATATTCGCGCAGATTAGTACTATGTATATTATGTCCAAATCTGACTGATATTTGAATTATATGATATACCTACCATTTTTTTATTTCTAATTTGATTCATTTTGTTAACCACATTTTAATCACGTTTATTTTTTACGAAAGGCAAACTTAATTATTATTGTGGTTAATTTAATTACAAAATCCACAAACACACTCAAGCCAAAAAAAAAACACATTCAAGTAATAAAAAACTGACAGTTGCAGAGTTGCATCACGGAGGCTAATACTTGCTAGCAGGATAACAGAAATACAATAAGATCTTTGGTTAGTTATTTCTGTTCGAACTTAGAATCATAGAATTACCTTACAATTTTCTACTTAGTGCGAGTGCGGTCGGCTGGTCTGACACTTTTCCTATAGATGGCGTATATTCTTAAAATTTTCATCTAGAACGTAAAAAGTTAATATAATTAAAATAAATAATATTTTAAGATAATTACCTGAAAAAAGTAATGGTAAAACATAACGATAACAAAAACCAAGATACGAGGAGATAAGTAATGCTAATATGACTAAAATTTTATTAGTGAGCAGACGCAATTATGGAAAATGTGAGGCTTAAGAACAAATATATTACATTTATTGGATTTATGACATCGTCGTATCATGAGCAATGACATATAGATCAGTATTATGGTGGCCCAGAGATATAGCAAAAAAGAGCCATTCACTCAAATTATTCAAGGTTCAAACACTTCTTGATAGTGCCTATCTTGAAATGACGGGGGCTCTAAGGAACAGAAACTATGGAAGCCTTACTGATTCTCTCTTCCCTCCTACTGACTACTGACATATATATACATATATATATATACATATATATATATATATATATATATATATATATATATATATATATATATATATATATATAATAAAGTTTTATTTTGAGAATGCAGTCATTTAAGTAGGGCAGGATAAGTTAAACTCTTTTTTCTTAAATCAAGCTTTCGCAAAATTTATTTGCTTCATCAGGATATGCTAAAATATGTTATGGTAAATACAATGAAATTAGAATTAAAAAAACATTGTATAAAACTAATATAAAAACTTACAACATGAGGTTAAACCATTAAATTATTAAATTCACAAAACATTATTAATTTTTTTTTTAAATTATATTTTTATGTAAGTACAATATTTTAATTTTGAATATATTATGACATCGATTAATAATGATGTTTGATTTATGTCAGAAAGACACTCGTGTCTGTTTTTGTTTTTGATAACTAGCTCTAGATTGTTATCATGCTTAAGTAAAAAGTGGCGCCAAATATGAATATTTAAATTTTTGAAAATATAGTATTTATAGTCAGAAAATCATATATTAGAAAATTAAAGTATTAATTTTCGTAAGATAGAATGTAAGTATTGCTTAGTTTGTTAATATCAGTTTTTTTATTAACGCATTGATATTTGTTTATGCATACCATTTCTAAAAATTCTATGCATATGTATTAATCTTAAGCTCTAGGTTATATATATATATATATATTATATATATATATATATATATATATATATATATATATATATATGTATATATATATATATATATATATATATATATATATATATATATATGTATATATATATATATATATATATATATATTATATATATATATATATATTATATATATATATATATATATATATATATATATATATATATATATATATATATATATAACCTAGAGCTTAAGATTAATACTACTATAAAAATTAATATTAAACTCACCAGTTTTCCGGGTTGAACCGCGTCGATGTCCATTGGGCCGAGCTTTTGACATCCTTTCTGATGCCTTCAACTGAGACTCACCAGTCACTTTACTTTGATTACTTAGTGTGAAAAGAGAGTAGTGAAAGTAAAGTGACTAGTGAGTGTAGTAGTGTCTGGGGGCTTGGGAGACTAAGACCTCGAAAGCCCTGAGGAAGACATCAGAGAGGATGTCGAAAGCTCGGCCCAATGGATATCGACGCGGTTCAACCCGGAAGACTGGTGAGTTTATTATTAATATTTGTAATAGTATTAATCTTAACTTTAGGTTTAATTGTTCTAACCGCGGAAATCTTTCCGAACAAAGAAAAAAATAAATAAAAAGATCCATCGGAATAAAATTTTAAGATATCATTATAAACAAAATGTATATAGCAATTTAAGATAAGATTTAGTGTAGATAAAAATAGAAATTTGTTTGGCAAACGACTTTGTCCGTGTCCAACAAAATTATCGAAAAACCCATTTTGTGTAGAATTAGAAGACATTTTACCTGTAAGCTATTCTTGTCATTGTTTGTGTATTAAATGACCATATTCTAATCTTTGGAAACAGGTATAGATTGTGTATTAACCGACTGAGGACAAAAAAAAATCAATTTTATTTATTCTTTCTCTGAAACAGTAATTTGGTTTTAATGATACACAGAATTTTTAGAATAAACATTAACAGTAGTAAACAAGATTTGAGCTTTTTGATTGGATAGTCGGTTTTGAATGGTAATGGGGTTAGCCTGATTAGGAGACCGGGAGAGGGGCAGTTGTAATTTGCCGATCGAAGGAAACAGTAGTTTGTTTAAAGATGGGGTGTGGTTCGTGAGTTTGGATACCGGCATTGTGAAAAGAAGTGAATAGTTTTGCAGAAGGAGATAACAAGTAGATTAGAAGAGGTCCGTGTATCTACCGTGAGCATTTTGTGAAGTATATGTAAATGTAGTTTTACGGCATCAAGTTGACAAAAGAGGTCCTTGTGTCATAGATAAGTAGCTGAGTTTCTTGGAGAAGTGAATCAGGTTTTATTGGGTAGTCTGCAGGAGGTTTGCAGAGATGTTAGGAAGGAGCCGAGGTGCTAAAGAGGAGAGATCACATTGTTGAGGAGACTGGACTTTTCTGGGTATTTTTCAACATACAATTCAATAAGAAAAAAAGCTGTTAGTGTTTTGTACAATTCAAATTGGTATCTGTGAAGGATCTGTGTTGACATCATGATCATTACCATTTAAATTTAAAGAACTGAGTTTTGTTAGACTAATCAAAAGTTTAAAGTTTTGTTGTTTTTTTGTTTCAAGAAAAGGAAAGTTTAGGTCAAATTGGTTTTCAATTAATATAAATGTATGTAGATTTAAAATCTTATTATAAAAATTTAATTTAATTTCTTGTATTATTATTATTATATTTCATTTTTCAAAACAAGTAATACTAATTTAAAAAAAAAATTAACGTAGGTAATATTCGAATCTATGAGAACCACACTCAGTCTGCCCTATGACGTAATGTGCCTACCTTTGACGTTGATATATACAGGCTGGCAAGCTCGGTAAATAGGTATACCCGCGTAATTTTTGTGACAACTCTATTTTAGTGGCGCCCTTAATTGCTGGTTCTTGTGTGCACCGGACACATTACACACGTGGACGGCGCGGCCCTAGATCTAATCTACTGACTAAACCAACGATTGATATTGTATTTTAGGAATGTATGATAATGGTATCATTGCCAATCCCGGACAATATCCATTTACAGTTTCTATACAAACGAGAGCGTTGGGTGAAGAATTGCATGTATGTACTGGAGCTATTATCAACGAACAGTGGGTTATCACTACAGCACAATGTTTATATAACTACCCCAAAACAATCGTCGCTGGACTGATTAACGTAGATGATGAAACCGATTTAAATAAGCAAATAGTAAATATAGAAAAAACTATTATATATCCCAAGTTTGACAGTGATGGGTAAGTTATTATATTCATTTCGTACAAGGTTTGAATCTAATCTAACTAAATATTATTAAGTATTTTCTCACAACAATTTATTTTTTTTTGTATTTTTTAACCCACATCGTTTTAAGTTTATTAATAGGTTTTTACTGTGATAGAATAATTTATGTTCAATCTAGAATATTTCCAGTAAAAAAGTTAAATTTTCTTTAGATCCCTACTTAAATAAAAGCAGATATCGAGAATCATTCTATCTCCCGCTGTTGTCCATAATGTAGCTTCTAAATAATTTTAAACTGTTTTTCTTAGTCTAATTTAAGTTTTGTGTAAATGTATTTATTGTACATAACATTCACTGACGTGCTGGATAGCCAACTTTTTTGACGAAATATCCATGAAAATGCTCTGAGAGCGAAAGGACAAGAATTTATTAAAAACCTGTGGTCAATATCTGCCTTTTATTTGAGTAAAGTTTATATTATTATGTTTGAGCATTCAACCATATATTATATTATTTAGATATTATCCAAAAATAGCTTAATTAGAATACTTTAGTCAGATCAAATAGAATATATCTCATTATTATCATAATTAACGAAAAATATTGCTAATATAAAAACACTGTTACAGTATTAACCGAGTGCTTTAAAAATTGGAGGAACAAATAGATATAGCAATGGCAGTTAAAATATGGAAACTACAGTATCTGAAATATTTTACACGTGGAAATAAATACCAACAATTAGAATGGATTATGCAGCGAAATATTTAGGTAACCTCTCCATAGGGAAGAAAGCAATGTTAGTCGAGAAATCTAAGAAATTGTTTTCCTACTAGTTCTTTCCAAGTATTTCAAGCAGCAGCCTCGAGAGATAAAATTGCTTTGATAATAAGCAAACTTCAAAACACGAATGACGGAAAAAGAACATTGTTAATAAAAATATTTAATACTATAAGTAAAAATAGTAAAATATCCGAAATATTTAGGATCCTTAAACTGGTTGGGACACACGAGCGGAATCCAATTTAACCTATGTCATATTTTTAAGCCATTTTTCACTAATTTATTACCACCCTAATAATTTTTCACTCCTAAACCAACCCTAACAGCAGCGATTCTTCTGACTTGGGGTTCAAGCTTAATAATTAAAAAAAAACTTTTTGCCCATGGAACATTGTTTCACCAAATTTTTACTAATTTATTTCCAACCCAATAATTTTTGTCCCTTACTCCTACACCTAATAGGAGCGATTCCGCTCACTTAATATTCAAGCTAACAGAATTTCAAATTAAATTATTTATTATGTATAACAGTATTCTCCTAGGTATTTACGAATTTATCATCACCCTAGTGATTTTTCACCCCTCAACCCCTAACAAAATTATTGGAAAGTCAATAATTCGGTTAAAATTTAACGTGACAAAAATGTTTTGTTACAATTTCACGGCACTTTTTCTTTTAATTTCCGCGTATCCATAACCTGACGTACCGATGTTCAGTTCCGATTTGGTTAGTCTGGTACAGCCTCCTGCTTTCGCCGCTATTCCTTGAGGCGCCATGATCACGTCGTTGTACGTACCCGTACCTCTCCTAACAAACGTAGGCAACATCCCTTTCTCTTGCCGCCTACTCCATACTTCTCGTCGATGTCTCAACTCCCAGTGCTGCCGGCGTGTGGATTCCCACGTTTTCTCTTCCCAGCTCCTTCATCTTCTGTACCAGTTTCCTGCGCGTTTTTAAAAACTTTACCAGCACAGGTTCTCCCTTTTTGTTTGTGTGAAGTTTGAATCCATACTTCTCATTGTGGATCCACGTTACATCTTGAAGCTGCGGAAACATAGCTTTGGCCTTTTTCATTGCTTTGTTGACTTCGTTGTTCTTGGTGACAAAGACTGCTTGCCACTTGACAAAGACTCCTGTTATTACCGAAATGTCTCCTTTTACTACGATCCTCGTGAAGACCTTCTGCTGCCAGTCTCCATTTATAAACTGTATTGTATACTTCTTATCCTTGCATGTTGCCATCTTGTCCGAGATAGCGTATACCCTTTTTTTAATAGCTTCTGGGTTCTCTACGTTCACTTGAACTCCCATTGTCGCATCTTCTTAACTTTCGAGGGTTTAATGTTAATCTGCACGCCTCTGGACTTCATGCACACATAGTTCCTTGGTGCCTCTTCTTACTTATTTTCCTCCACTTCCTTTATATAATCGAGCATTAGATTTCTTAGGGTGTTGACCTCCCTCTTTATGGATATCTTTGTATTTGACACCTTCCTCATGAGTTTCTGGAGTTCAGCTACGCTGTAATGAAGATGATCCATCTTTGATCTAGCTTTGTAGTTCAGTGGCTATTCCTCTTCCTCCGATTTAGTCGTTTCTGTCCTGTTGCTTGTTTTTTTTCTTGGTCTCTGCTTTTACCATTCATCGTACAATCGTCATGCATCGTACATTTATCGAATTTTCTCTCTCATTTTATTTTTTCCGGCCTTCTGCCTGTTTTCTCCTTCCTCTTTCTCTTTTTCCCCTTCCTTTCTTTCTTCCTCCCACTTGGTTTGCTCTTTCTCTCTTCCTCCCCTATCCTTCCCGCTACTTCTGCTTGCGCCTTTTCTAGCTCCAATTTCTTCTACTTTTCTCCTCCAGCTTTTCTTCCTTCCTTTTATTTTTCTTTTTCTTTTCACCGTTCTTCCCACGAGTTAGTTCGTGCTGATCGGTCCAGTGGCTTACTCCGCCAAGGCTGTTTTCCCCCAAGGTTCGTTATCTTCCTTGGGCATCGTTTGTAGTCCACTATATTATCCCTGGGCCATGGACCCCTTTGGCACGATGGTGTTACACCTTGAGGTTGGGAAGTCGGTATATTAAGATTATGCATAGCCGCCTGTGCTATGCTTATCTGTTTGTATTCAGTGGGTTCCTCCACTAGTTTTTATATTGTTGAAGGTTTTCTCCTCGGGTATAGGTTTGGCTATCAGGATCAGGATGTATATGACGGGTAGGGGTGGATGTCCTATGATAATTGGAGGTATTTATTATCACAGAGGAATAAGATGGGGCTTGGGTAATGGTCAGCGGACAACTGCTCCAATTTGTTGCCTTTTACGACGAGCAGAAGAAACTGTGAAAGTATTCTACTAGAGCTGCTCGCCTTCACTCGGGGAGCTCTGATGAGATCTAAAAAGGTTGTAATACGTATAAGCGGCTTGCAGATGCCCTGCATCGAAATAAAATCTAATACCGTCTTTATATTTACAAATAAATGTAAGCGCAACAAACAATTGCAGAATTATTACAATTAACTTCGGGATATACCGAACAGCGGAAATTTAATTTTGATCTATGTAGTGCAATGGTGGACTAAAAAATCCTACTAAATAAATTACAAATTAAAAGTTTATAACATTTTTGGAAAAGTACTGACAAATACATGTGCCGGATAAAAGTACAATATGAAAAATTATGTTAATTGCGTTTACAATACATAAAAGAATAAAAAACATAAACACTAGTGGAAAACAAATAAATCTCGTTTTCTGTGAAGGAGACTACAGATATCTGTGAAAGGTATTTTGCTAATTTAATTATAGACATACTTTACTAAGTAATATTGACGAGGGATTATTTAGTGTGCTTAATACAACTGGAAGCGACATATAACAATACAGTTTTAAGATTGGTAAATGAAAATGAAACCATTTTTATCTTCTAAAGGAAGTGTCCATCAATAAAATAGTATTAATGCTCGCAATTATCGCGTTGCTAAGACTAAACGGCTGCAATTTCTACTTGTTAGTGAGTTGATAAAACTTTTCCACTTGTAAGTGAGGAAAACAAATTTTATTAAAGCTCCTCTAAGGGCGCAAATTTTTAGAGAAAGATTCCCTAACTTTCCATTACCACTGGAACCAGTGCTAACTCGGTACATGATTAGATGCAGCTTTATACTAAATTTATCGAAAATTTTAAAAGCTTCGTATTGGAACTTAAAGATACTGCTAGCAAATCGATAAAATGCTGTCTGGATGTTTTTGGTTTAACATAATTACAAAAAATCTGCATCATCATAATCATCCAGCCCACTCCTCCATGCTTTGCGGCTTTGTGCTTTTTGTTGCAAATTTTTGGTGATGTCAGCCGTGTTGACCATGATGTCGTTAGACCAACGTGTAAGTGATCTTCCTCTACTACGTTTGTCTGCTCCTGGCCTCGTATTTGTAATCTTACTTGTTCATCATGAGTCATGCATTCTAGCTACATGACCTGACTAGTTCCATTTTAGTTTTGCTATGCGTTCCACATCAGCAATACTGGTCCTTCTTCTTAGATCTTCGTTTCTTATTCGGTCTTGCAACGTCACTTCCAGCATAGACCGTTCCATTCGTCTCTGTGTTAATCTCAATTTCGAAGCTGTAGTCTTCCAAGTATTTTCTTTAAAAAAATACTTTTCTTTTACGACTAATTGGTATGTTGGCCCTAAGTGTGTTTCGCAGTTTGCCAAAGGCTGCCCTCGCTAAAGTAATTTGTATTTGTATTTCGCATATTTGGTTATCCTTGCTGATTCTTATTTCATGACCTAAATACGTATATGTCTCCACCAGTTCTACCACTTTGTCTTGAATATTTAAATGGTTATTGGTTATTGGTCAAGTTCATTTTGGTGCCTATCTTCAAATATGCAAAGTCTAATTCATTTAACATATCTGTGGCTTCTTCTAAATTATCTGTGATAAGGACAATGTCATTAACGAAACGGAGATGGTTAAGCTTTTTGCCACCTCTTGTTACTCCTCTGTGGTCCCAATTGACCATCTTAAAGGCATACCGTTATTAATAATTTCCGTAACAATCTATCTCCTTGCCTCATCTTAAGATTTATTTTTATTGGTCGGGTTTTATCGTGAATCTTAACAGTCATAGTAGCATTTTTGTAAATATTGTAAATAAGTTCACTATACCTATGGCCAATTTTGCTGTCATTCATTGCTTCTATATGGCTGTCTATTTCGATCGCGTAAAACGGTTTATGAAAATCTATAAAAGTGAGGACAAAAGGTTTGTTGTATTCTTTAGATTTTTCAATGAGTGTCTTTACTGTATGGAGGTGATCATTGCTACCATAATTTGATTGGAATCATGCCTACATTCGGTTGGTAAAAATCAAATTTTTTGTTCAATCTTGATGTCACCAACCTAGTGAAGAGCTTGTATATTTGGTTCAACAGGCTAATAAGTATCGCTTTTATCAAAAGTAATTTTGTTATGTAAGGGAAACAATGAAATATCTGGAGAAACAGCAAATGTAGTTAGTTGAGTCGATCCAAAAAATCGTATCCCTGTAAAAATTGGTCAGATAGTAGTAATAAAAGTCAAAAAATTAAATCCTTATACGATAGAGCCAAAATTACTTGCTCTAACGAAAATTCGTTCTTGGAGGAGAAACATTTGTTAACATCTGTTTTATTAAAAAATGATTATCCTTTATCGTTTATAAATAAGGAATTTTCAACAATCGATCGAATAGAACAGAACAACTTAGAACGAGATCCTACAGCATACACAAGGAATAATATGAGGAAAATAACAATACCGTACATAAAAGGATTATCAGAAAAACTTAAAAGGATAGGAAATAAATTCAACATTTCAACAACATTCAAAACAACAAACACGTTGAGATCTATTTTGTCCAAAACCAAACCTAACAATGAACAAGAAAGAACAAAGAATTGCATTTATAAAATACCTTGTGAATGCGATCAGTTTTATTTAGGTGAATCATCAAGGCCATTAAATGTTAGAATAAGTGAACATCAATCTTATATTAAAAACAGAGAATTTGATAGATCTCAAATATGTAAACACGCATGGGATAATGAACATAGGGTTCAATGGAATAATTCAAATATAGTCCTAAAAGAAACGGATGGTAAAAAAAGAAAAATCAAAGAAGCGGCTCTAATTATGCTAAATGAGGCCAATTGTGTCGCAAATTCCTCGGCAGAATGTAGTAGGATCTGGTTACCAATATTGAAAGAGGAAGTTATGAATAAGAAAATACCAGTATTAGTAAGTCAGTAACATATAGAGGATACATCATTTATGTTTTTTAAATAACGTAACATATAAAATCAGAATTTTGATGTTTGTTGAAGGTAAACTAAATTCACGAACAAATACTTACAATGTCGGGATAGTATTATGAGGTTTTTTTCCTGGTTTTTCCCTCATAATTTACTATCGAATCACTAACAGGAGAATTTTACTGTCATCATGTCATGTGTTTGTCTTTTTAAAGACGAATTACATGCCATGATTTTTTCTGACGGATATTCTCAAGTTAAAGTTGATTTCATGTAATCGAATGAACTATCTTATAGTAAAGTCGTCCCAGGAGCGCAACTCAACAATATTGGCAATATCATTTTAAAGTCATCTACTTTAAAATGCATAATGTATGTCTGAATTGTCAATATAAATGACTCAGATAAAATTAAATTATTAGAAGAATTTTTTCACTATGTAACAAAAAACAAAATTTGTTTAATTTACTGTTTGTATTTTGAGAACGATTTCCGAATTGGAAATTGAAACGTCAATAAACGTATTTTTTATCTTTAATTGTGGCTTATTCCCAGTTACAAATAGTAATTAATTTACAATGCCACAAAAAAATAGCTTCAGAACAATAGTAATAGTCTTGTTACACAAAAAAGGCGATATTACTAAATTAGAAAATTATAGACCCATCAGCCTCTTGAAACATATGTACAAACTCTTTATGAAAATCTTAACAAAGAGGCTAACACTCAAACTTGATTTCTATCAGCCCAAAGAACAGGCAGGCTTCAGGGCAGGATATGGCACAAATGACCATTTGCATACCATAAAGATCTTAATAGAAAAGTGCATCGAGTACAACATACCACTGGTTCTTGCATTTGTCGATTACGGGAAGGCTTTTGATTCTGTAGAGTTTGAAACAATACTGGAAGCCCTAAATCAAAGCCGAATAGATTACAGGTACACTACACTAATCAAAAACATCTATCAGAACGCTACATCAAGTATACGACTGCACGAAGACACAGAAAAATTCAGCTTAGGTCTAGGAGTTAGACAAGGAGACAATATTTCACCAAAATTGTTCACGGCAGCTCTAGAGTCAATATTTAAGGGTACTCAATGGCAAGATATGGGCATCAATATAGATGGAGAAAGATTAAATCACCTAAGGTTTGCAGATGATGTTGTATTAATCGCAGATAACTTACATGATACAGTTTCTATGATACATTCGCTTAAAAGTCTGTCTGAAAGAGCAGGATTAAAGATAAACTTTGAGAAAACTAAAATTATAACAAATCTCGTAATGAGTGGAAATATAACTATTGACAATAATACCATACAACAAACAGACACTTACAAATATCTGGGACACGAAATCAAAATAAGCAGAGACAATCAAACACATGAAATACAGAGGCGAATAGGTCTAACATGGGCAGCATTTGGCAAATTAAGCCATATTCTAAAAAGTTCAATTCCCATGTGTCTCAAGCGAAAGGTTTATAACCAATGTGTTTTACCTGTACAAACTTATGGAGCAGAGACTTTAACACTCACGCAAAAATCTGCGAATAAACTTAGAGTTACACAACGAGCCATGGAACGTGCAATGCTGAACGTGAGCCTTCGAGACCACATAACAAACCAACAAATCAGGCGAAGATCAGGAGTTCAAGACGTCATCGAAAGAACCACGACGCTTAAGTGGAACTGGGCAGGGCACTTAGCCAGAACACAAGATGGACGGTGGACAAGACGTATTATGGAATGGAGGCCTAGAAATTATAAAAGAAGCCGAGGACGACCACCGACTAGATGGACCGATGACATTAAACGGGTAGCGGGAAACTGGCTACAAGCGGCCCAGTGTAGAGAACACTGGAAAGAACTGAATGAGGCCTATGTCCAGCAGTGGACGCGATTGGCTGATTGATGATGATGACAGTTATTTCATGCTTTAAACAAAAGTTATATATTTTCCTTTATCTAAGGTGTTTCGATAAAAATAAGGTTAAACCATTTTTGTTTTAGTTAACTATTTTTTTATTCTATTCTCTTCTTTATTCTATTCTATCTTATTAATAAAATTTATAATAGGGACTTACTAGTTCGTAAACTAAGCTTAGCAATTATTATGTAATATGTATTAGGCTAATTTTCGTAAAGAAAAATGGTTTATCAAAATGTATATGCTTATTTTTTATAAATAAAATTGTTATGCTTTTAGCGCTTTTTTTGAGTTTACTTATGCTTTTAAATCTGAAATCTAGTGATGCCAAATACCCTTTTTAGAAGAAGGGAAAGGTGAACATTAGAGAAAATACTTACATATTTCATTAAGCTTTGTTTTGTATACTGATCAAATAGATGTAGGCAACCCTGTCTCTACTTTCTATTTTAATTTTCTTATTTGAAAACCAAAGTTTTATAACTTTAGAAGAAAGACGTAGATTTTTAGATTATTTTTGTTCCATATATACTTTTCGATACATTTGTTTTAGTAATGCTCATTACGATATTGCCCTAATAAAAGTAATAGAGGCTTTCCAATTTAATGACGCTGTTCAGCCAGCTAAACTTCCTGAGGCTGGAGCACAAAGAAGTGGTAATGCCGACATCGTTGGATATTCTTATAGTCTTTATCATAATTACCATCAACTTGTATACAGACCAGCGTTACCAATTATAGATATTGAAAGTAAGTATTATAAAATTAGAGATACTCTTTTTTTAGTACTAATTAATAGGTATGTGATAACAGACCATCAGAGCCCGTTATTTACAAAAAAGTTACTCTAAGTTACCCTGAGTAGTTGACTTAAATAACAATATAGTTAAGTGGCTAAGTACAATTCCAAAAATTAAAATAGCTTAATATAACAGCATATCCAATTACAGCTTATTGTCAAAGTCATCTGATTTACCAAAACCGTTGGCCCTACTGACTCAGAAGCATTCACTTTATCACTTCTAGTGATAAAAAGGATACTGCTGTCGTAATAGATAAAGACGAATATTTTTGGCAGTGCCAATCTCTATTAGATGATGATGTTATTAGCCTCTTTTCTCCAAATCTTGTTGTAAATTTTCAGTAAAATTAATAAATACTGTGCTTAATTAAAAAGTAATAATATACTTGATAAACTCTTAACCAAATCTATACATAATTATGGCGGTTATGCACCGAGATTTTATTGTCTACCTAAAATGCCCAAGCCTACATTAAGCATGAGATCTATTGTGTCCTCAACGCTCCCAACACCAATGTTACTAAGTTTTTCACAGATATTTTGTTTAAGTCTTATGATTATAATATTGACTTTAATATAGTTGATTCATTTTAATCTGGTAAATCCATTACTAATTTTCAGTTACAACAAGGGTACATTTTAGAAAGTTTTGATGTATTTTCACTTTTTACAAACTCATCTTTAGCCATGGTCCTGTCTTTCTTAGATAACCATTGGAGCTTTATCCAACCCAACCCATCTGTCTCTTAAGGTATGTTTGCGGAATTATTGCAATTAGTTTTTGATACCAATTTTTTAGTGTTTTATTATAAATATTATCTACAAATATTTGGAACACCTATGGGTTCCTCAATTTCTACCATCCTAGTTAATTTTAAGGTTATTGGATTTTTAAATACCTTATGAAGAGCTCTTAATTCTTATGGGTGATTTTAGTGCACGAATCGGAAATGAAATAGTTCCAGGAGTAAATCAAAGATTTAATGAAAACCATGCCAATGCAAATGGAGAACTCATAGCTAATCTCTGAGCTTTTAACGAACTTAGAATCAATAATACATTTTCAACCATAAGCTCGACTCTAAATATACATTTAAAAACTCCAGGGGGCATAAATCTATGATTGATTTTATAGTCAATAATAGAAAAATCCACCCAAAACAAATTTTAGATATTCCAACTTTAAACTCAGCGGACGCAGAGAGTGAACAAAAACTAGTACTAGGAAAGACAAGAATGAAAATAACACCAAAACATTTTCTACAGGAAAACACCGAGGAAAAATTACTGACTCTACAAGAGAAATGTACCAAAGGAGGCTCGCACAGAAGATACAGCTAAAACAAATAGACGACATGGAAGATATAAACGCTAGCTGGGAGAAAATTAAAATAACATTGAAGAAGTAGCAACAAAAGCCCTAGGAAAACGCAAAGTCATACTGAACAAAAGAAATAACAACAATACATCATGGTTCAGAAAAGAAATAAAAGAGAAATCTAAAGAGAAACGAGAGGCCTAAACGAAGTACAAAACATCAAATACCCCAAAATCCTGAGATATCTATAGAAGAATACGAAATAAAACAAAGCAGTTGGTAAGAAGAACAAAAAATAAACACTGGGAACAGTTTACAAAAACGATGGAAAGCGACTTCTACGGTACACAAAAACAAATATGGAGATTCATAAGAAACCAATGGAAAGCAATGACAGAATTGAAGGAATACAATAACATACCGACAAACGAATGGGAAAGATACCTGACGAAACTGTTTAAAGCAAAGGGAAATAATAATCAACACAACAACGTACCTGAATTAAGACACGAAATAGAAATCAGTTTTCAGGAAGTAGAAATAGCCATAAATTCACTTAAAAATATAAAGTCACCAGGACCAGACAGAATAACCAATGGGCTTTTAAAACACGGAGGAGAAAGTATAACCCTAGATATGACAAAACTTATACAAAAACTAATATTGCACTGCAAGATACCAGACGCATAGAGAAACAGCATAATAATACCAATGTTCAAGAAAGGAGATAACGAAGATCCCAACAATTATAAAGGTATAAATCTACTGAGCACTGCACGTAAGCTTACCACAAAAGTCCTAACCAAGAAAATCAATAAACTAACAACTTTATCAGATGAACAACAAGGATTCTGATCCGGAAGATCCTTCGTAGATGCCGTATTTGTAAAAGACAAATCACAGAAAAGGCGATTGAGTACCATAAATAAGCATATCTGTGTTTTATATATCTGACAAAGGCTTTCGATCGCATCCAAATTGAAGACGTCTTACACGTACTGTATAAAAGAAACATACCAATCAATATTCTACAAACCATCGAAAACATCTACTTCCATAACTGAATACAGGCAAAGATAAGTAAAAAACTAACACAGTGTATACCAGTCCAAAGCGGAGGCAGACAGGGTGACTCGTTGACTCGGCGACCATGACAAAGGTCATGGTTACAGAATGAAAATCCAAATGTTATGTTATGCAGACGACACATCTTCATTGCAACAGCCAAGAAATACAATACGATAATATTAGCAGAAAAAACCAAATGCATGACAACATCTAAATACCCACTATGATGTAAAATTGAAATTGATTGGAAAATAATAAAGCAGAAAGCAAGACTTATATATCTGAGAATAGATATAACTAGTTACGGAGATGTTGAAGAAGAAGTACGACAACAAAGCTTAAAAGCAAGTAGAGCGGCGGGATCTCTTAATGACACAATCTGGAAGAACAATTGGACCTATATTAACATACACGGTGGAGACAAAACCTGACACATCTAAAACAAGACGACTACTAGAAATAACAGAGATGAAAATACTCCGACGAATATCAGGGAAAAGTATGTTGGATAGGGAGAGAAACAAAAACATAAGAAGAGCATGCAATATAGAAGACATAAATGGATGGGTTGCAAAATGGAAACAGGAGTGGAGAAAACACATAAGTAGTATAGCAGATGATAGGATAGTACGAATAGCACAAGATAAGTCACCAAATGGACGAAGAATTATTGACAGAACAGGAAAGATATGGTGCAACAATTTAAACAATTTAGGAGGCAAATATTAAAGAAGAAACAGACTTTAAAGCCTGCACACAAGAAAGAAGAAGAAAAAAGAAGAAAGATTTTTAAATCTCTTGTATTAAGAGCTATGTAGATGACCTAATCTTAGCATTACCACTGGATAGGACATGAGTCACCCTGTTAGTGTTCAACGAGTTTGATAATTATTTAAAATTCACATGTGACTTAGTAGAATTAGTAGAAGATTCCACAACTATAAGCATACCTTTTCTGGATATGCGTGTTTTTCGAGGACCAGGTAGTTGAGGTTTCTCAACTACCATTCGTTTCATCCATTTAAATACAAAAACAAACTTATCCAGGCCCTCAGTTTTAGATTAGATTACAATGATTTACCCAATTGACCAATTAAGGTCAATTTCAAATAACACTGTTAATAATACAGTTCTGAATAATATTCTTCTATACCATACCTCTCTTAAGTTACAGACAAATTTATTAAACTATTTAGAAGTATACAAGTTAAATAAGCAATAAAAAATGTTAAACTTTTGTACACTCTTAAACAAATTAATATTGATTACCACACTCCCTGTACCTAATGTAATTCTTGTTACATAGGTCAGACCAGGCAGTCACTTAGGAATAGATTAACCTTCCACCGCAGTGATATTAACTTGTCTAAGCACACTTGCGCTCTGGCATAACATGTTATCACTTCTAAACATAAGGTCAATTATTAAGGGGTTAAAATTCTTGGCAATAAAAGAAATTTCACCAAAAGACAGTTTCTGAAAATGTGTTACATACTTCCATCATCCGAATGCTCTTAACAAGTGAACTGACATTAGTAACGTGAGTTATATTTATCACTCCTTAATCTTGCAGAATTAATCCTAGTTTTGATCAGCGAACTTATTAATAATTATTAAACAAGTATACACCTTGTTGATTCTTTAAATAGTTAATTAAATAAATTAATGAATATGATAGATAAATAAATAATTAAACATTATATATAAATATATACTATTTAAATTTTATTTACATAGTTTTAGTTTGATGAGTGTAGTGAACCATACATATATTAACTACTGTGATTTACTGCTTTAAATTGGAAGTGCTCTTTTTAAACACTACATGTGTGCTAACAGGTTAAGTTAAGTCGAAATCCACATTATTAATAAAGGTATTTTGGGGCACTAAGAACTCAATTTTGTCCTAGACCTTTTTTGGTTTCAAACAGTTCTGGTTTAATGTTGTGTCTTATTAAGTAGTTACCGTTATTTTCGTATACACTTTTAACTGATCCTATTAAATATGGCTGATTTTTTCTTTACAATTTTTGCTAAATGTTAGCTCTAGGAACTGAATCAAAACTCTTTTCTAGATCGTACTTTAATTGCTTTGACAGTATATAACATAATAATCCTCTATTATATTTTAGTTTACTTGTAGTATGTCATCTAGTTCACTTCGCATTGGCAAAAGTGTCATAAAATAACACAAAATAATACAAAGACATACGTTATTATAACCACAAACATAAATTCCACTTATTTAAAAAATAAACAGCTTCATTCTTAGCCAACATGAAATTATCATGGTTGCTTTGGTAAGAGCTGAATTGGCACTCGGCATGCCTACAACGCATATGTTGTACTTTATATCTTTCAGCACGACAATTGCACAATTGGAGGATGGTAGCTTAACTCACTTATTTAAGAAACCTGTACATTTCCCATAATTTATGCCAACTCTGTTGAAACATGACCATGTTTCTCTTGATAGTGCAAAACTTAGTAGTTTTTGTGTAATACGTGGTAGATTCCTGACTTGCGAAGATGATTTATGCGACTATTGCGTCTACAAGGAAATAAAAACATTAAAATTTTTCACGAAAAGTTATTTAGCCATTACTATGAGTAAATGTTTGGACCTCAATCTTTGCCACTCAAGACCTCTTAGTTCTTTATGATCCACAAGTTGGAGACTGCGGTGCATAAAGAAGGTAATAATAAGGCGTTGGTAGCCACCAGAAACTCTTTCCCTGTTATAATACTTATTAGATTTCTTTAAACCTCTCTAAACCTTTAGTGTTGGCTTGCTATTGACCAGTCATCTGCGTACTCGATCTTCGTAGATTGCGTGCCGGTTATATCTTCAATGTACAGGCTAAATAAAATTGGCGGCAAGACAAAATCCTGGCGGAACTTTTCACTTAATTTTCTCACTTTGCTTGTAGAATTCCCAAAATTACTTGGAACCTTCTCTTCGAGAGCATATCTATAAGAAAGTAGGTTTTTATTTAGCATGGGACATCACGCAAAAGCTTAGAGATAAGTTCTTGGTTCCAGACCGTATCTTAAATTCTCAATAAATATTCAAAGACGACAGCAATATTTTGGTTTTATGGAAACCTAGCTCTCATGGAAACCTTCTATGTTAAAGTGCTAAAACTTGGTCGACACAGCTGCGATAAGAACTAAACCCTGCCTGTTCCATGAGTATTCCTTCGAATAGGTGTAAAAGGTGATGAAAGATTCTGTTGTATAAAAGTCTCACAAGATACAAAATACTTAATAGGACAATTTGCTCATAGTTTTTAAATGGTTTATTAGTTTTCTTGGTTTAAGTATTAATAGTCTTTTCATTTTTCTATCTCTGTTTAGAAAATATAAAGAAAAATAACGCTACCCAGGTTTGTGCATGTATGTATTCCAAATGTATCGTCAACACCGTATTTTTAAGTTTGGGATCTCCGATCGTGATGGTTACCACCTCTTCCTGTGAATGGAAAGAAATATTCCGTCACTTGGTGCTGAAGTTTTTAAGATACTTATGTTTTTTCTTTAGCTTGGTCCTGTGTTCGCAGTATCTTTGTTGCATCGATGGTGCCAAAATGGGTGCGGCTACTGAGTTTGAGGTGGTAGTGGTCGTTTGGTGTTCAGTTTTATTGGTGCCTCCTAGTTTACAGAGAAGGGTCCACGCTGTTGGACAGTCATATCATTTTTCACAACGCGCATTGTAAATTGAGTAAATTAACGTGATATCTCTATCTTTACGAAAACTATATAAGTGTATATGACTAATAGAATGATTTTACAGGATGCAACGAGATAATTAAAACTTTTGAAGATTTTATGTATGACCAGCTCTATGCTGACAAAGACAGCAATATCTGTGTTCTCGACCGGTTCGGCAATAATTGCAATGAAGATTTAGGAGAACCATTATATCAAAATGGAACTCTTCTTGGACTTGCCAGCTTTTGGGTTATGCCTTGTTTCGAGCAAGGATCTCCAGATATCTTCACCAATATCGCTTATTTTGTTGAATGGATCAACGAAGTGATCAAGGACAATTCAATATAAATTCTATGTAATTAGATATTATTAAATTAAAAAATATAAGATTTAAATAAAGATAATGCTTTTATACCTTTGTGTGTCGTTACCCATATAAAATATATAAAGTTAATTAGACTTAAAGTTAAAGTTTTATTATCGAAATATTCATACTTTTTTTAGTGCAGTATCATTTTTAAATAATTTAATATCTTTGATATCCTTGTACCTTTTATAATAGGTATATATAATTAATAAATACATAGTAACAGCAAAGACAAGAATGGAGAAGGAAGACCTGAACATCATCGGAGTATACGGCCCAGAAAATAATAAGCCTCAAACAACAAGAGAAGCGTTTTACGACCAATTACAACAATTAGTAGATCTAGTCAGAGGAAATATGATAATATTGGGGGATTTTAACGCTCGAATAGGCAACCAAGTAATACCCGTCATCAAACAAAAACATAACGAGAATGTTAAAAACTAAAATGGAGAACTAATGATTAACTTCTGCACAAATAATGAACTAAGAATAAATATCACATCTTTTGACCACAAAAACCAACACAAATATACATTTAAGAGCGTAGCCGCAAAATTCGGGCCAATGCTTTTTAAATCCGTTCATTATTTTCGAATCCTGAGAAAACTAATACATGTTTTGAAAAATTTAAACGCAGAATAAAAGCATACATTATTACAGAGGGCTGCAAGACCCTGAAAACTTCAATAATGTTTATTTTAACAAGTTACAGGGGTAAAAAAAAGATAAAATTTAGTGTGATTTTTAATTCCAAATATCTCATTCAAAAATACGTTTTGTGTATTCTAAGGGACTTTCGGCCCTTTGTGATAATGTAATCTTTAATTCTGCGTTTAAATTTTTCAAAAATATTTGTTAGTTCTCTCAAGATTCGAAAAAAATTAATGTATTTAAAAAGTATTGGCCCGAAATTTTGCGCCTACGCTCTTATAACACCCGTGGACAAAGATCTATGATATATTATATTATAACCAACAGAGATAAACACCTATCAAAAATAATCGACGTAAGGTGCCTCAACTCAGCAGATTTGGTAGCGACCATAGCCTAGTATTATGTAAAAAAAAAAGAATAATCCTGAAATACTTTCCACCCAAGAGAGCGGCGCCAACACAAACAAAAATCGAAGTCCAAGGACTAAATACGGAATCGACGGAATACTTATACAGGAAAAGAATATTAGAGAAGATCGCTGAGAATGAAATATTAGAAAACGATAACATCGAGGAAAACTTGGAAAAACTCAAAAATAATATAAACAACGCAGCAACAGAATCACTTGGAGAGAGGAAAGTAACGAACACTAACATATCAAAAAGAAAACACCATGGTTTAGAGAGGAAGTGAAGACAAAATGTAAAGAAAAGAAGAAAGCCTTTTTATAATACAGAACACAACAAACACAACAGGCATACAACCATTATAAACGAATCAGAAATAAAACGACAAATTACTTTAGTTAGACAAATAAAAAAAAACATTGGAAGACTTTCTCAAAACAGATGGACCACGATTTCTATGGAACATAAAAAAAAATATGTAGAATGATCAGAGGAAAAAGAAAAGAGATGAACGAACTAATAAAAACGAAACACAGTCAGAAGAAAACATGGGTAGACTACTTTCGATCTCTGTTTGCTAAATGTGACGATGATGAACTACCAACACCAGAGGTGACGACAAGCGAAGAAATAAATATTGAGGAGGAAGGGGTAAAGGAAGCATTAAGGAAATTAAAAAATAGAAAATCACCACGAGAGGACAGAATACCGAACGAACTCCTAAAGTACGAAGGACCAGATCTGACCAAACAACTATTAAAACTAATTTAAAAAATAATGGAACAAAATAGAATTCCCCAAGAATGGAGACCAAGCATCCTAATACCTCTCTTCAAAAAGGGAGACAAATCGGACCCTGAAAATTACAGAGGAATCAATTTATTAAACACAACACTAAAATTAACAACCAAAGTGATAACAAATAAATTGAATGAAATTATAACACTATCAGAAGAACAACAAAGTTTTAGGTCTGGAAGATCATGCAGCGACTCTATATTTATAATGAAGCAAGTGCAAGAGAAATCATTAGAATACAAAAAATCGGCATATCTATGTTTGGTGGACCTTACAAAGGCATTTGACCGGGTCAATTTAAAAGACGTTATCCACTTGCTGTATGAAAGAGAGATTCTCCTAGGAATAATAAAAACGATCGAAAATATCTACCAAAACAACACAATAAAAGTAAACGTAGAAAAAGAACTGACCGACCCTATTGAAGCTGGAAATGGGATAAGACAGGGAGATTCCCTGAGTCCTCTATTGTTCAGTCTGATTATGGATAAAATATTAAAAAAGTAAGCACAAAAAAATGATACCAAATGGGAGAAAAATAACTTAAAATAATCTGCTATGCAGACGACGCAAATTTACTAAGATGTAAATTGGAGCTGGAAGGTCAGATAATAAAACAAGTGATCGAGTTTAAATACCTAGGCATCACATTATCTAGCTACGAAAAGCTCGAAACCGAAGTGGAAGATCAAGTGAATAGAGCAAACAGAGCCTCAGGCTGCCTAAATGAAACAATATGGAGAAATAAAAATATCGGGAAAGAAACGAAAGGCAGAATTTACAAAACAGTCATCAGACCAATAATGACATACGCTGCAGAAACAAGACCTGGCACAGAGAGGAAAAAAAGGATATTAAAAACAGCAGAGATGAAAACGCTTAGAAAAATTGATGGTAAGACACTATGGGATAGAGCTAGAAGTACAGATATACGACATAGATGCAAGGTGGAGAACATCAAAAAGTGGTAAAGAAATAGAAGAGTAGAATGGAACGATCATATAAGCCGAATGACAACAAATGGAGTAGTAAAAACGATAACAATAGGAAGACGATCAGTAGGAAGACCACAAAAACGATGAAATGACAAGTTACTGGAGGCACATTAAAAAATAACAGAACAAGACTCATTTTCTTACAACATAATATTTACTTTTCCGGTTTCCAATATTCATAAATACGTTGTTAACTATGTTAATGTTCAAAATATTGCCTATTCTGGTTAAGGCACAGTCGTATAAATTTGATAAGGGACTGTCGAACGTCTTGTGACATTTTAGGTACAACGCTGGTAAAGAAATTTTATGTACGAATTTTTATACAAGCCCGTGTTGTGGCTGCGTTGGTGTATACTATATTCTTAATGTATCAAAAAATAGTCCAGTGGAGTTGGTCCTGGATATTGGAGGGCCATTTCGCAGTATCAGCGTATCCGATCTAATTGTTGCTGTAGTTATTATTTAGCACATGCCCAACATTTTTTTTATGATGTGGTGTTGCTTCGTCATGTTGAAACTATACTGTTCGTCTAATTTCCAAGGGAACACCCTCTAACCAGTTAGGCAACCTGTATGTTAAAAACCTCAGATACTTATTACCAGTAACCGTTCGGTTAAAGTAGTAAGGTCCAATACCATATGATCCAATAGTGCCTCCCTAAACATTCAACGATCATCTGTTCTGGGAGGTAAATTGAAATAGGTGAAGTATTTTATCGAAGTAATAATGATAATTATGTATGGTAATGAACTTGCGATTAAATGTCTATTACTCATAAAATGAAATATTTTTCAAAACTTTGACATTTTGACTTAACATTTCTTCCGCCCACATACACAAATTATTCACAATCAATGATATTTTATTTTAAGGTATTTTAAAATATTAGTTTTTCTATCTCTTTAAGTTATTTCTAGAAGTTTTCTTTCTATAGCTCTCTGGTCTATATGTAATTTAGTGTTGGCCTTCTTGTCCAACACTTATGTTTTAGTGACTTGTAGAATACATTTATTGTAGATCATCGTTTTTTAACAAAAAATGCGATAACTATAGAACCATCTCTTTGATCTCATATGCTGACTGTTAGTGAACAGACTGCATAATAATAATCCACACATAACCACGATTGACCGGTTTAAGGTTGTGAGATCATATTTATATCTGGAATATAAATATAATACGGAAGTGAATCTTGGGCCCTGCGACAAGTGGGAAAAAAAGAAAGATAGACGTCACTAAAATGTTCTGTTGGAGTAGAATATTACAAATTCCGTATATCGACCACAGGACTAATATTGCAATTCTAAATCAGAATATCAGCAAACGGTTATCTTGTAAAGTCTATTTTCAATAAGTAACATATTTTCAACATGCTATGAGAGCAGACATGGAAAACATGGAAAGACTTTTTATCCAAGGAAAGGTAGAAGGCCAAATATCACCAGGAAGATCTCCAAGAAGATGGATCGATCAAACTACAAGAAAAGAAAAGAAAAAAAACGAGTGTGACAGTCCGGTGGGACTGCCAGTAGAAGTTATACTTCTATACACGCGTTCGCCGTTACAAATTTATATGGGAGTCAATCTGCACAATCATTACATACGTAATACTATAGTAACAGAGAGCAGAAAGATAAACATAATTAGGTATATAGGTATATGGTACATTGTTTGCTGTATATAAACAACATTTGACCTGTAATAGGAGTATAGTAAATGAAGGATTGAATCAATATTTTGATGAACATGTATATTTTTATTTTCATATATGTATGATAGGAGTTGAATGCAAAAATTTTTTTTACACATACTCTGCAGTAAAATTCATTGTTTTTTTTATTAATAGTACAAAAATATAATACACTGCAACATAATTCAATATAATAATACAATAGAAATTAAAATGCAATATTCATAAGTATTTAAAAATGACAATATACATTACTTACTTACGCATATGTTTAATTTACCATGATATTAATATTAATAAAAAATATTAATATTAATAAATATTAAATATATTTATAAAAGGAACATTTTTATTGTCGAGAGAAAAAGAGAGAGAAAATATATCTTCTGTCTCTCTCTTACCTATATCTTACATATGTAATGATTTCGCCGATTCACTCCCGTTCAAATTTCCAACGTCGAACACGCGTATAGAAGTATAACTTCAAAAATTCAAAGAGTTAATGCAAAGGACATATATACTACTTAAAAGAATTGACTAGAGACAGAGATTTTTGAAGACGGACAATACAGTCGTTCGGTAATCTTTGTCGTATTTCACTTTATATGTTGTTTTAATGGTGTTGGTGAATTGAGGTCCTGTTTCAGTCAGAAGTTGTGAGAATGTTCGATCCAAGATCTTTCTTCTATTAAACCTATTCTACTCACTTCTTTTGATCTTGTTAAACCTATATATTTGTTCAGCTCTTAGCATTTACTTTTCCAGGAACACAAATTTTTTGCTTTACTTACTAGATTTTTACTTATTTTTTTGATCTTGCGTATGTTCGTCTATCATCTGAGTGATTCGTTTGATTCGAGCGATTCACTTCTGATATGCTTGTTTCTTGTGTGAAGTTTAGGGCATATTACATCCTTATGTTTTACTCTTCTTTGTATTTTAACTTCTTTTGTTAGTTTATATAGCAGTTCTTAAAGTTAATTTACTATGAAGTTTTTTAAATTATATTGATATATCGCTGATCTATACTGGCATTTCGCATGGCAGAAATTATTTATGTTCCACTAATATCAAGCGTCTTCTTGTAATTTACAAAAGTCAACCATAAAGGTATATTACACTCATTTGCTTTTTTTGTATTATCTATTTGACTTTGTTGTACCGTAATGATTACAGAATCCTGTATGCTCATTTGGTTGGTATAGCTCAAATTTCCTCTCCAGTCCATTTGTCATTATTCTCATAAAAATATTTTATGTTTAAGACAAGAGACATTTTAGTTGCTAATTTTCTAGATCTTCTAAATCATCTTTATTGTATATCAGTATGATCAATGCTCTTCCCTATGCGTCTTTGATATCTTCTTGTGTTAGGCATCTGCTAAATAGATTTACCAGTTTGTGAGTTAGTTCCGTAATACTTTCCTTTGACATCTCAGTTAAAACCTTATCATCACCTGCAGCTTTATTGTTTTGTATTTGTTGAAATGCATCATCGATTTCTTCTATTTGGATGTCGGGTTTTTCTTCAGAATTGACATGTATTCTTTATTTTCTATTTACTACTTAGGTGTTTTGATTTACGTTGTTTATTTTTAGCTCTCTTTTAAAAAAAATTTGAACTCGGATGTGTTGTGTCCCTTTAACAATAAATTTAAATTATAATACATTCTCTTTAAACATGGTTCATTGGTTAACTGCATATCAAGTTAGCAGAAAAATGTCTTTAACATTTATCATCAATATTCTTTTTAATTGCAATATGTTTAAGCTGATACTATTATTTTGTAAGATATCAATTTTTGATTAAATGTAGATTACAGATGATCAAAAGATTTCTTTGAATAACGCTAGACCTATACCGACTTTTTAATATTGTTCTAAAGCTATTTTCTTGTGATATTTTAAAGCAATGACCATTGGGAATAAGCCACAATTTAAGTTTAAAATAAGTTTATTTTTGACAATTTATTATTGTTTTGTATTTTGTATTTCCAAATAAAAATCTAAACGCCACAAATAAACTTATTTTAAACTTAAATTGTGACTTATTCCCAACTAAAATACTAATTGCATTAAAATGTCACAACAAAATAGCTTCAGAAAAATTTCTTTTCTCTAAACAATTTAACAAAGAAATACAAAGTACAAAATAGTTGTTATCTATTTATTATTTTCAATAGTTTGATTAATCCAATCGACAAAATTTGCTACATTAGTAAAAACATCTGGAGCACCTGAGAGATAACACGGTTGTATACTCCAACTAACAAGACCAATTAGAGTGGATTTCTGAATCAAAGCTCCACCATAGTCTTGATAACAGTCGTTTGCATTTCTGTTTGGGTTTCCTACACAAATGTTACTTTTTTCGTCCAAAACATTAATACCCATATTGTTGACAGCTGTATTACAATCTAAAAAAACCATTACAGAAAATTATATCAATTTAAATTAAAAAAATCTTTTTTATCGTATATAATACATGTTAAAAACATTATATATTTCTACTAAAAATGGATACTTGAGAAAGACAATCAGCCGAAACAGCTGTAGTAATAGGATTTTATAATACATTTTGTGGAAATTTTTTTTCAGTGTTTTTTTGTTACATAAAACGAATTTCCATCAAGTAACGGTCGAATCCATCAATTAAAAATGGATACGGTTACAATAGATTTATTAGAACTAGCGAGTTATATGTCAATAAGTCTCCTGTCCAATATTTACAAATGCTTTACCAAAATCATCACGAAAGGAAAATGAGTTTTTTATCATACTTACGAGCAAGATATAGAACAAATGACCACTTAAAATCACTGAAAATACCGATTTAAACGTGTTTTGAGTATAATAAACAAAAACAATGTAACATCATCTGTTAATCTCCATCATTTTATAAATAAATATAGGATTGAGTCAATAATTAGAAAGGGCGACATTATCTCCTCTCAACTATTCACGCCAGCACTGGAATATGCATTTTACGAACTAGATTGGCCTAAAAAGGGAATAAGTATTGATGGTAAATACTAATCCTCTTGTGTTTTGCAGATGTTATTGTTATTACAGCCGAGAATTTAAATGAACCTTACAAAATGATGGAAGAGCTACAACAGGCAATAGAACAAGTAGACCCAAACATAAACTTTCAAAAAAAATTATACATAACCAATTTAGTTCCAAGTGATGTTATAAGTACAGTTGGTAACGAAGTACATCAGATATTTAGCTATATTTACTTAAAATATAAAATTATAATAGGAAAGACAATAAAACCTGTGCGATTCAGTGCCGTATATGTATGAAATGGGCAGTATTTGGTAAGATGCGACATAATCTAAAAGGAATGCTACCGATTTGCTTAAAAAAAAACAATTTACAATACATGTACAATTCCAGTAACAATATATTATGGTTCCAAATCATGAACATTGACTAAACAATCTGACAGTAAATTAAGAGTAACCCAAAGAGCAATGAAAAGAGCAATGCTGCGAATAACAAGAAGGGTAAGAGGGGACTAAAACAACAAATATCATAGAAAAGATTGCATAAGTCAAATTGAGATGAGCTGGCAATATAGCACGTTTAAATGACAATAGGTGGATCTAAAGACATAGAATAGAAACCCAGAATAAACAACAGATACCAAGGTAGACCACCAACAAGTTTGATGACATACGAAAAACAACAAGAAGTTGGATGCAGAGAGCACAGGATAGAGAACAGTAAAAGCGGATAGAGGAGATCTATGTCAAACAGTGGGTGCATAGGGTTAACAGATGATAATGATTATGGTGATAATTTTGATGATATTTATGATGATGATACTGACACTAATAATGTGAATGAGACGTTAGATAATAATATATATGTTTGTTTACAACAGACAGTAAGTATTTTTTCACATATGGTAGACACTGATGCTAGACTAAAAGTATATATATTGTATCAAGTCAGGCAGCAATGACGCATAAATAAGGAACTACCAGCCGATTGTCTAATTGTCATGGCAGGTTCTTAAGATGAATCTAAGACTATTATCAATACAGTTAATATTAGGGTGAAATAAATAATTCATTTAACATTTAAAGATCAATTTTTTACGAGTTATAATTAAGTTACCTGCAAAATCTAAAATGGGCAAGTCCAGTATATATTCCAAATAGAAATTTGAATCTACAGTTTCATTACAAGCATAACCAATAAGATCAGCGGTACCTTCGACGACAGCTCCTTGTTTTGGCAATTGAATAGGTTTCACAACATCATTGAATACAAAAGATTGGTTTAATCTTACAAGGGTGATATCGTTTGGTCCAGGACTAAAAAGCAAAAGTACTTTTTTTATAAATATGTAATGAATCTTCTACTTCTAAAGACGGTACAACTCAAATCGAACCTTGGTCTCCTATAGTTTCTGCCCCCAGTGTAAGCTGACGGGCGGAGCTACCCTCAAATTTCTGAAATTCAGTAAGTTGTGCACATACGCTGCCACTTCGCTTTCTTATCTTTTACCATGGCCTTTCTCTTGGTCTTATACTCTGAATTTTAGTTCTTACGTCATGTACTTCATATTCTATATATGATCTGTATATAGTAAGCACACTTGTATTTGCTAGTATTTATGGAATAACTCGGAAATATTTTGTCACTTTTAGTATGCGGACTTTGTTCGATATAACAGAAAGACGGTTTTAGATTTAATTTCAAAGCAGGGCATCTGTCATCTGCTTATACGTTTTTCACAACCTTATTAGGTATCATCAGAGCACCATATGAAGAGGCTCTAAATCGAAATTAAATCTGTACTGTTATAGAACAATAATAAAAATGGTTATTTACAGACGTTACAACGCCATCTAATAACAACATTAGACATCCTAAGACTTCCTACTTTGGGAAACTAAATTTAAATTTTTACCACTGCGCTTTCTACAAATTGCAAAACAGACATATTGATGAACAAGTCGACAAGGAAATCTACAATTTGCATTTCACGTGTCGTTCATCGCTGCAAACTACGATACAAACTACTTTCGACAGATCCCCTTTATGATTTAAAGGAAGAACTCTTTTTTATTAAATGGGGTATATTGGGTATATCAGAAACTGGAATAGGCAAAGAAACAACTATGATACTAAAATCAGGACACCTTCTATATCAAAATAATTAAAAAACAAGATCACATCTAGGTGGGGTAGCTATCTTAATAAAAGAAAAATCAAACATGATCTAAAAGAAACTCAAGCCGATTTAGGCATTTAAAGACACAGTTTATATATAATTCAAGTCTACGCTCCCACTAGCAGTTCTAACAACTATATATCAATAGAAGAACTATATGAGGACATAAGCAAAGCAAAGACTAAATAAGTACAAAGTGACCATCTATTTTGTATGAAATATTTCTTTAAAAAAAATTAATATAGAATTATAATTAAGTTTAATATAGAAGGTGGACATGGATAAGTCAAATGGCTAAACAAAAAACAAAATAGACGACGTAATCTATAATATAAAAATTAATCGCACAATGTGTTGGTAAGCGCAACAACGCATGAACCAATCTTAACAATTCTTAATGTTCCTTAAAGTCTAAGGATGATTTTTACGGTGAGAAAAATTCAAATCATTTCCGAGAAAACCATAAAACAGCCCTTTTTTCTCATAGAAATATTTTCTAATTAAATGTAGAGTCCATTTAAACTTTATTGCTGTTCAATAAAGTTTATATTAAATTACAAGCACTCACTGTTTTCTAAACAATGTAGGTGTGTTCCTAACTTTAAAGAGTCAATTTGCTTGAAGGTAGTCGATCAGCCCATTTAGCACTAAAATTGCCATTAAACATGCAAAGCAACGAATCTTCAACCTGAAACTCTTCGAAGAACTCTGCAAGGGCAAAGGTTTTTTCAGCAATGTGAATTAATTGTATGGAATGAATAAACGATGGCACATAAAAAAACTTTGGTGGCTTCAAACAGAACCTTACAAGATCTACGGAGCAATCATAACCCATTTGGTGGTGCAATGTTTTTATTAGCAGGAGATTTTCGTCAAAGATTGCCAGTTACTCCACGATCAAAGGCAGCTGATGAACTCGATGCATGTTTAAAGTCCTCCAATTTTTGGAAATATGTCAAGGTATTATCAGCAAGAATATGCGTATCGAGTTGCAAAATGACCAATCTGGAGACATATTCTCTAAACAACTCATTGACATTGGTAATGGCAAATTTCCTATAGACACCTTAATTTTCCTCAAAGTTTTTGTCAGTTAACTTGATCAAAAGATTAACTTATTCAAAAAGTGTTTCCAGATGTTGCTCAAAATTACAGAAACCATGATTAGTAAAGCGAACGAGCTATATTGGCTGCAAAAAACAGAGATGTAAATGAATTAAATTTCAAAATTTAATAACAAATTACAGGCGAAGACCAAGATGATGTCGTCAACTATCCGCCTGAATTTTTAATCTCGCTGGATTTACCAGGATTGCCACCTTACAATATTCAATTAAAGGTTGGATCGGTAGTTGTAATGTTTAGAAATATCAACCAACCGCGTCTTTGTAACGGCACATGGTTAGCGATAAAACAATTATTGTACGATAGAAGCAACTATACTGAAAGGAAAGTATGTAGGAGAAGACGTTTTGTTACCACGTTTCCAGTGGTGCAGCTTGCTTTTGCTATGACCATAAATAAGTCCCAGGGGCAATCATTAGGTGTTTGTGGTATTAATCTAGAATACCTATGTTTCTCACATGGTCAATTGTATGTTGCCTTTTCCCGTTTTGGAAAACCATCAGATTTGTTTGTTTATTCACCACGTAATCAAACAAAAAACATTGTATATCATAAAGCACTACAATAAAAGTAAAACAGATTTTTGTTAATAATTATGATTCACTTGATTTACACTAAAGCGATTACTGAAAATACTTATATACGTTTTATTTTATCATTCTTTGTTACATCGGTTATTAACCTTATGTTAATAATAATCATAATAAATAATGAATTATCTCTAGGTTTCAACCTTAAATTCCCCTCTTAGTTTGAAGCCCTCTGGCAAACATCCCAGTCGGGGTTTTTAGTGGGTCCAAAAGGGTGGCCAAAGTTCGTGGAGGCGAAGTTACTTAGGTCACCCGAGCTGACCCTCACACACCGCCCTATCATCACGGTGACGGTTCTGTTCAGGAGAATTAAAGAAATAATCTGCCACATTATAAATCTATTTGACAGAACGAAGTCTGTCGGGTTTGCTAGTATCGAATAAAAAACATATCATCAAGGGTGCGTCAGTTATCAACAAATTCAGTATGAGAAGTGACCACCATTTAATCATAGCCAAATTAAGTATAAATACCAAAATAGAAATGGGTAGACTAGTATATCGGAGAGGTCCTAAAATAATATAATTTAACGTTACTGGAATTAAATGAGCTTACGCAAAAATAAGCACAGAAATAAAATGAGTAATTAATGAAACTTGATCCAAAATAAAATCGAATAAAAATAAATGAAAAAAACCACCCAAAAAACTATCAAGAAACGAAATACCCAACAAAATAAACCAATGAATAAAGAGAAACAAGCAAAAAATAGAAAAAAATTTAACAACAGTCACATAATAAAATAAATACATGAAGATATTAAAAACAAGGAATTCCATGGAAACAGCAACAATACAAAAATTGAGTAATGAAAGTGGAGACATACAACAAAGATATAAGCAAATACTTAACATTGTTGAAAAATATTATAAAGAACTATACGTAAGTCAAGTACCAAAACCAGATGAAATAGAACTCTGCAATATGTCTAGCTTGGGCTCAAAAATACTTCCTGAAATAATAATAGAAGAAATAGAATTAGTCTTATTCTATATCTGCACCTCAGAATAAAAGTGCCAAAAACATTCCTTAAACATATACTATGATGCGCTTATAATAGCTTTGAAATACAAGTTGACCTATGTAAGAGATACTTAGTTAATAATATTGCTGTCTCACATCTTTAAATTTGATTTAAATTGGTTTACCTAAAATATTTCATAATATTTATATTAATCTTCGGCTGATAACTCGGTGTCTCTCGTACCGACTGATTCAAATTTTCGCGGTTTAAGCCCGGCTAGTTTTTATTTTAAATTGCATTTCACTGTACCTTTCGAAAGGACTCTTAAGCTAGCGGGGACACATGAGCGGCATTCAATTTAACCTACGTAATATTTTTTCACCCATTTTTCACTAATTTATTACCATCCTAATAATTTTTCACCACCAAACCAACCTTAAGGTTAAACACAGACAAAGCGGCATGCGCCGCGTCGGCGGCCGCAGCGGCGTTAAAAGCGGTCTCTCGTCTATGGTACTTATGTTGTGCAACACAGACGAGCCGTCGTTCGTCAGCTTGCGGCCTGTGCTGAGTATCATGCGCCGTTGGCAGTTTTATGACTTCCGGCGGCACATGAGTATTATGACAAGCGAGAGCTGGCGGGTTGCGCGTAGAACAAATTAAAAAGTGGAAGGGACTGCTCATTTCTATTGCAGTCGGCTAGGAGTTCATATCGTGTAATTATTGCTAGATTTCTGACAGTGTGTCAAGTATTTACATTTTTATTTGGAGTAGCCCTATATTATAAACTATTATTTATATTTATTAAAATGGCAAGTGTATTAAAAGGCAAACCTTTGGAATCTCAAGCACGAGAAATAATTTTCAGTGTTGTTAAGTTTACAACCGAAGAAGCTAATGCAGATAAAGTCTTAGTTGATTTAAAAAAGATACAAGAACGTGTAGCTTAATTAACTGGTAATTATAATACTCATTTTCAAAATAAATTCAGATTTAAATCATTTAATTTAAATTACAATCAATAAAATTATAATCAATCAATAAATAAAAACTTACAGAACAAAAAAATACCAGTAAATAATAAGTAAACAATGGATCAGTTAATTAGTACTTTACAGTTCACTATTATTGATAATACAACGTATATCTGTAGCGACAAGCTAATTATTTCAAAAATTAAATAACAGTTCTTCATGTTAAAATTTACATTATCGCGATTGGTTATATACATGTGAAATAAAAATGACATAAAAATTGAAATGTGTTTCTCCAATATGTTTATTTACTACAGATATGCTGGACACTTTAATTATACATTTGAATACGTTGCATTTTTCGTAAATGGGAAACGAAATATTATATTGTAAGCAATAACATCACAAAATAAAAGGCCGAAAATACTTGAGTTTACCGTCTGACTTGAAAATAAACAAAGAACGTATGTTCTTTGTTGTGTTT